CTAGTCACGGAACTACAATACGTAGAGCAGACAACCCTGATAGTTTATACAACTCAAGCTATCCAGTACTAACATCAAAGCGGCATGGACAAACCCTATGCTCGCCAAATAAGGCAACACATCCAACAAGAGTCTCAACTCAATAGTCATAAAAGACAGAAAACATAAACAACATCCAAATCCAGTCATGTTAGCATACATCATAAATATATCAACTAAGCTCCGGCCTCCTGCCGCTAGAAGCATTAGCCCCCAAGTTACCTGAACCTGAAATAAGCGTCCCCAAACGTGGGGTGAGATCTCTAAACAACAAATCTCAGTAAGACAAGGGATCCTCAAGGATCTTCCACCCCAAGCTCACTTACATGTGCAATATAAGTTCTAAAAGCAGTAATTCAATATAAGTTCCAAAACTATGCAGTGCAACAGATATCCATGCCATGTGTGTATAACTATTCTACTGGCCAGAGAAATGCAGGAATACGTCTATTACCCACAAGTATAGTACAAGGAACATCGCTTGCACCTCACCCACAGCCTCACCATCTTGTATGTCCCCACATACTCAGGCTTACCGTATAGTTGGAACACCACATGCATATTATAAAGGCACTCACATAAACAGCTCAATAGCATTTCAATATCAAAGTATGAAAACACATCATGCATATAACCATCCCCCCATGGGACATGGTGGAACCAACAATGGCTAAACCGAGGACACGAAAGCTTACCTTGTAAGCTAGCTATCCAAATCAAGAGTCCACACAAGCTCAAGGCCCACAAACAGCACAATCACAATCTGTTTAAGCAATAATTAATCATCAAAAATCATTACTCAAGATTACACTAGGTGATTAAGGCTTTCTTACTCATTTTAACTCATTTCATGCTGTTTTTGCAGGAAGTATTCGAATACTCCACGAGTAGTATTCAACTACTCCAGCTCTCCAGAAAGTATTCGATTACTTTCATTTAAGTATTCGAATACTAACAAGTATCCGAATACTTTTTCCCCCAGTATCCGAATACCACAATATTCGAATACCAAACCTTACTATATTCGAATACTTTCCAGTATTCGAATACTTCTTCAAAGATATCCGAATACTTTTCTTCCTAGAAAAGTATTCCAATACTCCTGCAAGGAGTATTCGACTACCAGTTTAAAAATACATTTGCAACTCTTTAGAAAATACTCTAAGATTTTAATATGTTAAACTAGACATCTCAAGCTTTCCAACGACATATTTTATGTCTCAATCGGAGTTGTATAACTCCGGTTATGATTTTTGCAAAGTTCCTACAACAACTAAATTTCCAACAATAGGGTCGAGACTTCAAACATAAACTGAGAGCAATCCACTTATCCAATGGATCTGAAAAATTTACAGGGTTGTATCCCTATGTGTTAGCTTCACATAGGTCCAAACCTCACTCAATTTAGAGCTCTGTAGCTCAAGATATCGCAATTTTACTAAACTAGGTCGCTGTTGTCTCGCGAAGTATTCGATTACTGCATTTTTCCAGGAAGTATTCGAATACTGCCCGAAAAGTATTCGAATACTTCTTCGACAGAATGCAGAAAACTTAGTTTTAAAGGTATAATTGACCTCCAATGATCCAAACTCGATCTGGAGTCCAAGAACTCCTTAAACAGATGTTTATTAACATGCTTATGACTCAGAAACACATTCCTTTATTCAATTGATCAAAGTTTTACTTTTTAACCGATTAAACAAGCTTAAAATCATCAAAAGACAAAGAGGTGATATACCTTTAAGCTCCAAAAATCCAAAAATGAGACACCATAAGGGTCCTTAACACAGCACCAAAGTTCTGCCACTTCCCAAATACGAAATGCACTACAAGCTAGGACCTTTCACCATCAAAATGGCTCCTTGAAGCCTCCAAAGACAAGTAGGTGGCTTCCTCCAAGAGAACCACCAACTCAGCCCCCACAACCTCTCAAATTCAGAAGCTACACTCAGAAATGGAGCACCTTTCAATCTCTCAAGGCTTTAGCACACTAAAATATGAAGCCTTTATGAAGAAATCAAGAGTAAAGGTACTTTCTTGAAGGTTTTCTATGGAGAAGAAGGCTAAGGGAAGGTGAAGGAGAGGGTGGTAGCCAAATGTATCAAAAACCTCTACGTAGGCACATCAAAATCTGACCTAGGTTATTGTGCAAGTGGCTATATATAGAGCACTTAAGTTTAATCACACAGTAATAGCACTAATAGCTACGCTTAGAATTTAAATTCCAAACTTAGGATTCTGAACCTACTCATTTTTCTAGGATTTATCATATTTTTAGTTTATTTTTCGCAGCACCTTTCCGGTACGCGCTTTTCCATAGACAGTATCAGTTCTGGCACCAGTTCTCATTATTTTGACCTAAAACTTGTTTTACTAGTCCTATATAATATTCTAGGAATATTCATGCACTTATTATAATTTTCTGGGATACTTCATCGGTACGCATTTATACCGAGTAGCAGAACCGGTATCTGCACTTTTCGTCAGAAAAGCGACTTTCAGCATTATTACTCACTTACTATAATTATTAAAGCCTCATAATAATTATTAGGGTCAATTATGGAATTATGTCCTAATTTCTCTTAATCAATTAATTAACTTCCTTAATTAACGGTGCGGGTTCTTACATTGTGGGTTGTAGATGGGTCTATAAAGTAAAATACAATTCAGATGGCACTCTTGAGCGTTATAAAGATCATTTAGTTGCTAAGGGTTTCAATCAACAAGAAGGAATTGATTTCCTAGAAACCTTTTCCCTTGTTGCTAGAATAACTACTGCGCGTGTTCTCTTTGCTTTGGCAGCCGTTCATAACTGGTCCCTCACTCAGTTAGATATCAACAATGCTTTCTTGCATGGTGACTTGCTTGAGGAGGTTTACATGCACCTCCCTCCAGGTTATTTCTCTAAAATCCCTCACCTTCCTCCTAATGCTGTTTGTCGTCTTCACAAATCACTCTATGGTCTTCGTCAAGCCTCACGTCAATGGTTTGACAAGTTTTCTTCCACCCTCTCTGGTCTTGGTTTTCTGCAATCACAATCTGATTCTTCTCTTTTTGTCCGTTATTCTTCCACTATTTTCATTGCTATTTTTCTTTATGTGGATGACATAGTCATTGCTTCAAATAATTCTGAAGAGGTACAACAACTTACACAAGTGTTACACAACAAATTTAAATTAAAAAATCTTGGTGCTTTAAAATATTTTCTTGGCCTTGAAGTGGCTCGCAGTAAGTTGGGTATTTCTATCTGTCAAAGACACTATGCTCTGGAAATTTTAAAAGACTCTGGAAATTTGGGATGCAAACCGAGAACAACTCCCATGGATGCTGGTCTTAAACTTTCTGCTAATTCTGGTGATCTCATTTATGATCTTTCCTCATACAGACGTCTCATTGGCCGCTTGATTTACCTTTTTATTTTTCTCTGTTTTTAGTTATAACCAATTAGTGGTGCTCTTTATTTTTTTCGATTTTAGGCACATGGTTTGTTACTGCCAGCGTGGATTCCTCTGGCAGTGAGATAGACTGATATATATACAGTGCCCTTTGTACCTTTTTCAACCTATCTTGTTTTTGTTTTTATTGTCTATTAATCTATTTTAACTCTTCATTAGTTTTAAGACTTGTTTTATTTTGAGACATGAATTTTTCAGTGGTTTGTAACTTTGAATTGCTTTATTTTGATATAGCTAGTGATTTCTATGGTTAAAATTTTAGACTTTTCGAAAAATCAAAAACTAATCCAATCCAAATAGAATAAAATTGTATTGGATTAGATTGGATTTAAAAAAAAAATCCAAACCAAATGGATGATTATATGATCAAACCGAAGGGATTAGATTAGATAATTTTTGCTTCAAAACCGATCTAATCCAAACCGCGAACACCCCTACCATATATATAGGTGATAACATTATATGTGAGAATCATAACCACACAAAAGGTGAAAACATTAAATGTATGGAATCATAACTATACAAAAGATGAAAATATTAAATATAGGAAATTTTAATCATACACCTGTCATTGTTGGACGTCAAGCGACTGAAGAAATAATTTTATATATATATATATATAGGGAAAAATATTTCTGCAGTTAATGCAGATAAGTTATCTGCATTTATTCTCAAAACGAAGTCGTTTTGGTATTGAAATCTTAAAAAATTATAAATACAAAGACTATTATAACCCTGAAATAAATTAAAATTACAAAAATATCATGATTTCAGCCCCAAAACGATGTCGTATTGGGCTTACTGCAGATTTCAGCCCCAAAATGTGAACCCATATATATATATATATATATAGGGCTTATCGTTTCTCAAGCTGGTTGAGATAACTTTATCTTCGACTACTAAATCATAACTGTACAAAATGGTGATAAAGAAAGAGAGAGAAAATGGAAATCATAACCATTCAAAGGTGAATCAATTAACATAAAGAAATAAATAAACAAAACGACGTAGTTTTAGGGTAACCAGAGATAAATATATCTCAAGCAGCTTGAGAAGTATTTTTCTCATATATATATAGTGTGACACCCTCCCCTGTAAGCATCCAAGGGAGATGTCTGCTAAGCGGATTAGAGTCGTACGTCATTGAATTAATTTCTAAAACTGTATTGTTACGTCACAAAATAAGTTTTTGTATAAAAGTCTGGTTGTACGAAATAAAACAGTGTGAAACTTGGCAAAATACATTGCTTGCTGAAATAATAATTTTCCTGAAAAACCTGTCTGTCTTGCAAAAATCATAATAAATCGAGCTTTCAGAATTTTGGCATGCAGTTTATATAATCTGAAACTAGACATCTGGGGCTTTACGTGCATATAAATTATGTCTCAATCGGAGATCTGTAGCCCCAGAAACAGAACTCGCAAGGTGCTCGCTAAATCAGTTTACAAATCAACATTGAAAATGTTCATGAATTGTTTTTGCAAAATCTAACTAGAATCTCAAAAATTACAAGCTGACCATAAAAATCTTATAAACAACAATTTAAATCACTCTTCCAACAGTAGTCCATATTCCCAAAATATTACATCAATATACAATCGTCAGCCAACATCCAAAAGACATAGCAGACAACAACAGAAATTTCCAAACAGCAGCAGTCAACAGCAATTATCCAAAATAACCAAATCATCATATGCTTCTACGGCTCCCTGCAATTTATAAAAATTGAGCCCCAAAAGGGGTGCGAAAAATCCCAGTCGTGTGATAGTAAAACCAGTATTGCCACAATACCAGTCTAGGTACAAAATTCTAAAACAGTCGCATCAACATTTAAATTCAGAACAGATGCTAAAACAAAATCAGAATGCGTGTATAACGCCAGAGTACTAATCAGAGTGCGTATATAATGCCAGAATACTAATCAGAGTGCGTATATAACGCCAGAATAATGTACGTTCATAGCACTGTAGTGCTCGTACTACTAACTAACACAGTGGATATTCCATTTGGCCCATCAGAGGGGAATTCCAACTGCGACCTATGCGAACTGAGCCACGGTTCCTTCTCCCTAGTACCTGAGGGATGCCTACATGATGCGTGCTCAAACATATGCTTACTTTTATCAAATACTTCGGTTTCCAAACTTGAATGCATAAATATGCTGTATGCTATGATATGTTTTGCTTTGCACACACGTGATCAAATGAAATTTTATGATGTTCATGAGCATGACTAAATATCAGAATCAGAGAGTCATAGTTTACAGAATATGGCAACATAAATTCGAAGCATATGTAATTCCAAGGCAGAATTTCTAACAGTTCATAATCCAGATCAAGTTATCTTTTCCAAGACAGAATTTCCAACAGTTCATAATCCAATCAGTTATCATTTCCAAGACAGAATTTCCAACATGTGAAGTCCAGGGACAGATCACAAATAATATTTAACAGAAAACAAATCCAAAGGCACATGTGAGCAACAATTCAAAATTCCATACGCTAACTAATAGTCACAATAGGTCTCACCATCAAACACTTACCTTGTGTGCCCAAATATTAATCAAACAGCACCAGAATAGTCCACGTTCTCTAGGGGTTTTGCGCACCTAGCATTCCATTACACCAAATCAAAATTTCATATAATTTCTCCTATAATTCACAAATGGTTTCTATGCCTCTCAACACTTGGGTTTAAACGGTTTTCATGCTTCTTATAATAGAATTAATTTTCTGTTTTCATGTTAATTTTACCAATTTGTTTACAGGGTAAAATCCAAGGTCTCCTACCCATGCAAATTCGGTTAGTAGGACCATCAACAAGGTGTTTAATTTTTTTTTTATTTACATAACTTTCTCCACAAATCCTAGTAGTGCGCTAATAAAGTCTTTGACACATGCTGCCCATCTGGATTTACACATGCAAGGCTAGATCATCACTACAGTCCAAATGCATCGTCCCAACGCATAACAAGGAGTTATTTTCCAAACTCCCAAGTCGGATTTCTTTATGCTCGCAGCACCAAGCCCAAGGCTTTACGGCTGAACCGAAACAGAGAGGGGAATGACAAAACAGAAATTTATCTTCCTAGCGTACACATGCAGTCCGAATAGAAAGGGGATAAGGGAAAGTGGTTTTCGTGGGTACCTCTTTGACTGCACACCGAGTCCACCCGCGAACAAGGAGTGGCCCTTCACCCTCCAATGTTCCAAGAAGTAAAAATCCAATTGCATGCAATGGTAAACAGATCCAAATCAAGACCGAGATGGTTGCATGCAGAGGGAAAAAAACCCAGTCAGGACCGATCCAAGTTGTACAAAACAGGAAAACAAGTGAATTACCTCACCTCCTTGAAGGTTGGTCTTCGGCCAACAATGAATAAAGTGAAGAATGAGCTTCTGTTGCAGCTCCTTAATTGCTGCCGCTCGACCGAAGCAAGGAAGGAATAGGGGAATGTGCTTAGGTGTTTTTGCTCTCTTCCCATGGGTTCACGGTTTGGAGAAGATGATGGAAAATGGGATGCAAGCATGGTTCTCCTTTGAGTTCTTCCGTGAGGCTTGCGGCTGAGAAGGGGGGATGAGAGAAGTGAAGTGCGATTCTGAATCAAAGAAGAACAGTCAGTTTCTTGGGTTGTTCCCTTGTCATGCGCATGAATAGAAAGAAACTAAGGTGAATTGATTGTGTCTTTAACCATTGACCAGGATCCGATTTATTTTCTCCCCTTTATCATGCTCACACGGCTGAGGTGGGAAGATAGGAAGGGAATGTGCAGTTTAAGTGTTTTCTTTTCTTCCTAGGTACGCACGGTTTGTGGGGAAAGGTGAGTAGTTGGGTTTAGTTCTGGATGGAGAGAAGGGATTAGTGTTGTTGCTCTTAAGAATGCGTATAGGAATGGGAGCTAGGGAGAGATACTAGTTTGCTTCTTGTCCACTAAAAGACACGCCTGCTGATTTCTAGGATTAGTCCAAGGATAAGGATTATTCAAAGATCAAGTGTAGGAAATTTTGGCTGATTTGGGTCTTCCTCAAGGTTACTTGGGCCGTAGCCCATTGAAGACAATTTTGTTCCAGATTCATCTCCTAACGTCACTATTTCATGTAATATTTTACTAACTATTATTTCGAGTATCCACTAGCTAATAACTAGGGTTATAGTAGGTTGTAATTAAAATTAATTCTACACTAATTACATATAAGATTCGAATTTAAGACATGCCTCCACATTACTACTTGCAATTTATATAAGTATATATATATATATATATATATAAAGTGCGGTTTATTTATCACACCAAAACTATGAACATTTGTTTATTTTGAAATGAATCATTAAAATCAATTTATATGACATGACCTAATAAAATAATAAATTTTGTTTTCTTTTTCCAGAAAAATCAGTTCATTTTTAATATATTTAAAGGGAAATATTAAAAAAAAGGGTGAAAAGGAATTTTTTTTTCCCTTTCTAGCAAAAGAAAGCACTGAGTTCGGTGCTCACAGCACACTAAAGTTTTTCTCATGTTTTGGATAATAAGGTGCAATTTTTTATTCTTGTATTAACCAAAACACACTATCGTTTGGTCTGTTTAAATGAGTTTGCTTTTCTGGTTGTTTAAACACTGTCGTTTTACTTGAGTAAAAAATGGTGCATTTTTTGTTAAGTTTCTAAACTATGATACTAGTGTTAAAGCCTTTCTCACATGACTGTTTTTACACAATACATTTTACAATTTTTTCTCTCTTTATATTCAAAAGCGTTCTTTAGCTCTGCTAGAGTTTTATTGAAAACCAATTTTCGGTGTGCACCAACCGTGTTCTTGAGTGATTTTCTTCTAGTTTCCCTTGTGTGTTCCTCTGTTACTATGTATGAACCATTTCCTTTGATGTCATGGTAGATCTTGGACGACTAAAGGAGGTGGTGCTAAGGTGCATCATTGCGAGACTATTGTAGCTTTGTTTTTCAACAATCTCTGCTAGGTTTTACTGGGTAGTGTTATTCTTTTCTATTGCTTTGGTTTTTCTGTAAAATTAAGTCTCTATCTAGTGTTCTTGGGAGGTTAGGATTTCTGATGTGCATGTAATTTTGGGGCTTTTATGTTTCTTGTTTAATTGGTACTTGGTTTGTGTACCTGCTACAATTTATATCTTGTTTTTCTTATTAGTGCAATTGGCCAGTGAAATTTAACCCTTTTACCCCTTCAATGTAGGAAACTAGCTCATTACTAGTTCCTAAACAAAGTAAAGTTCTTCGTGTACTTCTTTTAATTTTGTTCTACAATATATAATGTTGAGTTCTTGAGTTGTTAAAATGCATCAGAAATCCATAGCTTATTAAAATAATATATGAGTTCAAATGGAGATTGTAACACCACCTGTCGACCCGGTGTATTAACATTACATATGGTATTAAGCACAATATTATTAATTAATAAAGTGAAAACTATAATATAAATGTCATAGTTACACTTATGTAAATATGTGAACTAACTTTTTTTTCTTCCTTATGCATTGCAATATACTTTGCTTACTTCATACTTAAAACATTTATGCTTTTTCTTAAACATCTCACATTCTAAATAATTCATACATTCAATCATTTACTTCACATCCACAAGACTTTAGGCTTTACAAAGCCATAAGCAATGATTAATCACTTTAAGACACTATGTTATGTAGGGTTAGTTATACTAATCACCCTACATAACATTTATCAAGGCACCACAACTCACTAGAAATGGATTTATGTCTTCCAAAATGTTAGAAACGATTTAAATCATGATGGAAGAGATTATATAACTCCCTTAGGGACTCCTATCCTTAGAACATCACTTAATATCACAATATAGTCCAAGAGTCTTTCATTGAAGAACAATCAAAAGAAAAAGATTCAATTGTCAAACTAGACACTGAATAGTTAGTCCTTACCATTTTCAGAACTGATATTATCTCGGTTCACTATTAATTCTTATTTTTTACTATGATAAACTAGACATCTCAAGATTACTAATGACATATTACAAGCCTCAATTGGATTTGTATAACTCGAGATACGTTTGTCACAAGCCAACTGCTTCAAACCAGACAAGAAACTGGGATCACTGCTCAAAAAATTCTAAAATTTGGAGACAACCCATAAAACTCAAAAACTGGAAATGAGTCATAACCTATAAAATTCTCATATTCTAGGACTTGAAATTAGACATCCTAAAGTTTAATTTGATATGTTACACATCCGATTTGGTTAAGAATTGAAAAAGTTATGGACGTTTGATGGTCCTCAAAAGTTGAGGCTCATTAAGTGTAAATTGTTCCACAAAACCCATGTTTGGTTATAAATCACTCCCTTCAACCTTCTTCTCTCCATATAGAGAAACTGTTTTGAATAGTGGAGCAGAGCAATACCGAAAGTGGGAATTAAGGTAGACCTGGAGCAATTTTAACATTATCCTTTTCACATATGACTATTGGGTTAGTTTGCTTTGTTCAGGACACCTAAGGCCCATCAGAAGGAACCACAAAATGAAGAGAGAAGAAGGAGTGTTGCGCAGAAAAGAAAAGAAAAACCTGCTGTAGTACAACAACAGTCAAAGGAAGCAATGGGAAGCCGCCACGTCAGCCACAACAGAGAAGGTGGAGGTGCTACCTCTGCTACAGTACGAAAGCAAAGGAGCTGAGCAATAAAAAGCAGCCACGTCAGCTGCAGCAGAAGGAGTGGAGGTGCCTCCCTGAATCCGATACTCCTACTCACAAAGGGAGCCAAAAGCAAGGGGGATCATCTCCATTTAAGGCCAAGCTGGCAAAAAGCAAAGCTACCATTGGAGAGGATTTAAACAAAGCACAACCCTTGATGAAAGGAACAATGGAGATCAAATGAAGAACCCTATAAAAGGAACAAGCAATCCTCATGAAAGAAAAATCAGCGCCCATCCTAGGACTCGTTATTCTTCTTTGTTTTTTTTCTTTTTTGTAAAAATGCTCACTAGGAGCTAACTCCCTCTAAGTAGGTGAGGGTTCCATAGAAGTAATCCCTTTTGTCTTAGGATAACTTTGTAAGGAACACATATTTTATAAAGGAATTTTGAGTTGCTCTTTGGTTTAATTTATTGATTTTGTGAAACCCTTTGGGCTGACAACCTCATCCCGGGACCACTCGGTTGATGAAACACTGACAAAGGCATGTGGAGCATTATCAAGATCTTGGGGTAGTTTATCCTGAAGAAAGGAGGGAGAAACACCTGGAATGGGGAGCACTGCCATGTGAATCCATGCTCTTTTGAGAAGGCAGCATGGTTTCCTTGCATATAACTCCAAGTACTATGGAGTAATGTGGAGAGTAAGGCCTTACCCTCTGCTTACCTATAGCAAAACAAGGGAAGGAGCAAAATCCACTTGTAAACTATGCTACCAAGCAGGGTTAACCAAAGGGATGAAAACATGGAACCCGTAACACCTACTTGACTTTTTCTGAAATTAATCTTAACTCAAATTTCTATCACAACCTTTCCCTCACGATAACTGAACTGTGTTTTAGCAGCTGATGCTCTTACTTTCATTTCGTTGACTGCTCTTGAAGTTACTTGAATTGATGCCTTTTTATTCGATGACCGTGCTAAGTCATTCACTGCTCTCATCTGGTTCAGAATGGTTAACATTGTTTAACTAGCTGCCCAGAGATTGCTCTTTGTGAAGCTTAGCTGAGAATAATACTTTCTTTTATTGCTCCATTTTACAAATTAAGTTTCCTTTAGCGCTTCTTACTTCACAACTGCTCCCTGAGGACGATAAATCTGGGGCTACAATACCCTATATTGCTTGACACGTACGCTTGCGTATAGTTGAAGAGGGTTGCTCTTAGTCAGAGTAGATTACTTCTGTTGGCAATCCTGACTATTACTCTGCACTCTTGCTCTCTGAAAAGATATTCCCGAGCAGCTTTCGGTTCGACCAAGCAATTGGCGTCGTTGCCGGGGATCATTTGGCAAGAAATGGCGTTTTTAAGGAAACATTTTTGTTGTTTAAATTGCAGTCTTTTTGTTTTGATAGACCTCCTCCATTTGTATGAGCACAGAACCTACAGAACTTGGACTAGAAATAGTACTTTTTGATCCAGAACCCAAGAGAACCTTCAGAAATAGAAGAAGAATTCAAAGGTTGAGAAACATTACAATGGAGGAGGTTGTAAACAATGATAAAAATGGAAATCATAATCATGAGCCTGAACAAGGACCGAATGAAGGAAGAGGGCCATCATTGAATGATATGGCTGCTCCCTTCAAAAATGGTCTAGAACGAGGGTATGTTCCCCCTCCCTTGAATATCCCGAACTTTGAAATAAAACCTGCAATGTTCCAAATGATTATGAACGCTGGTCAGTTCCATGGACTGCCCATGGAAGACCCTCACAGTCATTTGGACAAGTTCACTGAGATAGTTGATAATTTCAAAGTTCACGGTATTTCGGAAGAAAACATGCGGATGCGGCTTTTTCCATTTTCCTTAGCTGGAAAAGCCAAAGAATGGAGGAGAACATTGCCCCCAAACTCCATCACCAGTTGGGAGCAATTGGCGGAACAGTTTGTTACCCTATTTTTCTCCCAAGCAAAACAAGCCCAAGTGAGGGCTGATATAGCTTCCTTTCAAATGTATGATGGAGAAAGTCTGTATGAAGCGTGGGAACGCTTTAAAGAGTTGATACGAATTTTCCCGAATCATGGAGTTTCTGATTGGGGCATCATTCACACGTTCTATCATGGCTTAACCCCACCATTGAAAGCAACTGTTGATGCAGCTGCAGGGGGAGATCTTTTGGATTTTACTTATCCAGAAACCTACCAGTTGTTGGAAAAACTTTCAAAAAAACATATTTCATGGCCTACCTCACGACACAGTGCTCCTAAGAAAGCAGGA